AGAGCTACAATGAATTCATTTGTTCCTTTCACCTGAAGAAGGCCACTTGTGTTGTGGCCGAAACGTCGTGGGAATTTTATTGTTTTATTTTATTATTTTATTCTCATTCTACGTGGTGACTTTACCGAAAGAACCAAAGAAGATGTGTTTTTAATATTCACGTGTTTTTAAATAAATGTAGAGCCCCTTTAAAAAACACAACAACGTGCTCCAGGTCCCGCACTAGCTTCATGCGGCACTTGCTCTATTACTATAGTACTATACTGCCTTTAGCTTTTATGAGCGACTGGGTGTTGAAGGTTAGCGATTTGTCGAATTATCTGGGCTGTTTGGCAAATGGAAAAAAAAATAACAATTACTTTACTATGCAAGTTTAAAAATAAAACTGTTTTAATATTTAAGTGTTTTATATAAAAAAATGTAGAGCCCCTTATTAAAAAAACAACACGTGCTCCAGGCATCGCAATAGCTTCATGCGGCACTGACTCCCTCCGACACGGCCATCGTGAACCACCCCCCACCTCCCCCAGTAGAACGAGCGAGACAAAATCAACATCGGAGAGAGAGAGACATTGATGGAATCCGACCGCCCCCCAACTCCGCCTTGGGTTTTTAAAATGTAAGGCGACTTTTATTGCTCAGTTTACACACAAAACACACACACACAGAGACGAACGACAGTCATGGGAGGTCGTCGTGATCGCCGTCGTCAGCGTGGGAAGAGGTGGTGGTGATGGTGATGATGATGGTGATGGGAGCCCAGGCTCCTGTCTCAATACAAGCACCGAGACAGGGATGGAGGACCCACGCCGTGTCGCCCTTCGGGGAGCGGCGGGCGGACCGGAGGAGGGCCGTGTGCTCGGTGGAGCTCTGCTCGGAATGTTGGCGAGCGACCCGCGTCGGAGGCCGTAGGGGGTCTAGCGGGCAAGGGGGTTCTGGAGGGTGCAGATGCAGCACTTGTCGTAGATTAATAATAATGATGATGATAGACACAGAGTAGGGCGAGAGAGGGTAGAGAGAGAGAGAGGAGGAGGGGGGGTAGAGAGGGAAAGGTGTAAGGAGAGCAGAGCGAGACATATTTTGTTAAATCTTACATTTAAAAAGGGTGGTGGGTGGGTGGGTGCGGGAGGAGGTTTACATAAAGCAAAGCATTTTTTTTTTAAAAAAACTCGAAATGAACTAAGCCAAATGCCGACTACACCGAGCATCTTCTCGTCTCCTCTGATCGTAATAAAAAAAAGGAGAGGGAGAAGAGAGAGAAGAGACGAGAGAGACCGCACGAGGTGACACCTTTGAGAAGCAAACTTAAATAATCAAAGTTAAATAACAACAACAGAGCGAATATTGAACAGCAACCACGCAGCAACGCAGAGTCTCGGTCTCGGGGAGCCTCGCGAGACTGACTAGACCCTGAGCCGTCCCTGGGGCGGGGGGGGGAGTTGTTCCCCTCCTCCTCCACCTCCTCCACCTCCCCCCAAAGTGCGGGTCCCGGGGCAATCGCCCCAATTCGCCCGTTGCACCCCAGCGACTCTCGACTTGAACTCGTGGCGACACAGAAGAGGGGGAAAGACAAACCCCAAGTGACTATGGGGGGTGGGGGGGGAGAGGGGGGGGGGGGAGAAGGGGGGAGAGAAGGGGGGAGAAGGGGGAGGGTAGAAGGGGAGGAGGGGAGAAGGGGGAGGAGAGAAGGGGGGGGGGGGGGAGAAGGGGGAGGGGATAAGGGGGGGAGAAGAGGGAGAGAAGGGGGAGGGGATAAGGGGGGGGAGAAGGGGGGGGGGGTAGAAGGGGGGAGGGGAAAAGGGGGGGGAGAAGGGGGAGAGGATAAGGGGGGGAGAAGGGGGGGAGGGGAAAAGGGGGGGGGGGAGAAGGGGGAGGGGATAAGGGGGGGGGGGAAGGGGGATTGGAGAAGGGGGGGGGATAAGGGGGAGGGGATAAGGGGGGGGTAGAAGGGGGGGTAGAAGGGGGGGAGGGGAGAAGGGGGGGTAGAAGTGGGGGTATGTAAATAACACCACGCAAAAACCCCATCACTACCCAATGAGCATCACTCCCCACCGCCAGGCTTCCCCCCCCTCCCCCGCCAACTGGTGGTATCGCCCAGGCCGGAGAGGACCACTATTAGAAGTGGAACGAACCATTCTCACGTGTGGGGGGGCAGGGGGAAGAATAGGGGGTGGTGGGCTAAATAGAACATTGTAACTCACAATACACACAGCCCTTGCCTAGCAGTAGCTACACACTGTGTCTGTGACACGCACACAGCCCTTGCCTAGTAATAGCTACACAGTGTGTGTCTGTGACACGCACACAGCCCTTGCCTAGCAGTAGCTACACACTGTGTGTCTGTGACACGCACACAGCCCTTGCCTAGCAGTAGCTACACTCTGTCTGTGACACGCACACAGCCCTTGCCTAGCAGTAGCTACACTGTGTCTGTGACACGTACACAGCCCTTGCCTAGCAGTAGCTACACTGTCTGTGACACGTACACAGCCCTTGCCTAGCAGTAGCTACACTCTGTCTGTGACACGCACACAGCCCTTGCCTAGCAGTAGCTACACACTGTGTATCTGTGTCTGTGACACGCACACAGCCCTTGCCTAGCAGTAGCTACACACTGTGTCTGTGACACGCACACAGCCCTTGCCTAGCAGTAGCTACACAGTCTGTCTGTGACACGAACACAGCCCTTGCCTAGCAGTAGCTACACTGTGTCTGTGACACGTACACAGCCCTTGCCTAGCAGTAGCTACACTGTGTCTGTGTCACGTACACAGCCCTTGCCTAGCAGTAGCTACACACTGTGTGTCTGTGACACGCACACAGCCCTTGCCTAGCAGTAGCTACACACTCTGTGACACGTACACAGCCCTTGCCTAGCAGTAGCTACACTGTCTGTGACACGTACACAGCCCTTGCCTAGCAGTAGCTACACACTGTGTCTGTAACACGCACACAGCCCTTGCCTAGCAGTAGCTACACTGTGTCTGTGACACGCACACAGCCCTTGCCTAGCAGTAGCTACACACTGTGTCTGTGACACGTACACAGCCCTTGCCTAGCAGTAGCTACACTGTCTGTGACACGTACACAGCCCTTGCCTAGCAGTAGCTACACTCTGTCTGTGACACGCACACAGCCCTTGCCTAGCAGTAGCTACACACTGTGTATCTGTGTCTGTGACACGCACACAGCCCTTGCCTAGCAGTAGCTAAGGTAGACACAGACAAAGGTCCCCCGTGTAGCCTCTAACAGACTGTAGGGGCAAGTGCTGTTAGCGAGCATCACCTGTGAAGGCTACCGGCACCGTGGCACACGAGGGGGTGGGTGGCTACCAGCACCACGCCCGACCGCCTTTGTCTCTCCAGTGGCGATGTTCACTATACACCGCTACACCAGCCTCAAGTGAGTACCTGGTACACAACATCAACAGCAGCAGCATTGGGGAGATTCAGGCGGATGGGCGTGGTGGTGGTAGTCGGTGGTGGTGGGTGGTGATGGGTGGTAGTGGGTGGTGGTGGTTGGTGGTGCTGGTAGTGGGTGGTGGTTGGTGGTGCTGGTGGTGGGTGGTGGTGGTTGTTGGTGGCACTGTGGGGGGGGGGGGGGTGGGGGCGTGTGTGTCTGTGTGTGTCTGTGTGTGTGTCTGTGTGTCTATGTGTGTGTCTATGTGTGTGTCTATGTGTGTGTCTATGTGTGTGTCTATGTGTGTGTGGGGAGCGATAGTGTAGCGGTTAGCGCTACGCTGCGCTATGAACCTGGCGACCCGGGTTTGATTCCCGCTCACGGCCAACACCAGTGACGATTATCTGAACCGGTCCCGGGGCCGGGCCTCCCCTAGGTCGACTCAGCCTCAAATGAGTACCTGGTGCGGTGTGTAAACATTGCCACTGGGGAGACAAAGGCGGTCGGGCGTGGTGCTGGCCACCCACCCCCTCGTGTACCGTTCCGGCCTTCATAGGTGCTCGCTAACAGCACTTGCCCCTACAGTCTGTTAAGGCTAAATGGGGGATCTTTGTTATCTTTATTATCTTTGTTGTCTGTGTGGGTGTCTGTGTCTCTGTGTGTCTATGTGTGTGTCTGTCTGTGTCTCTGTGGGTCTCTGTGTATCTCTGTGTATCTCTGTGGGTCTCTGTGGGTCTCTGTGGGTCCCTGTGTATCTCAGAGTATCTGTGTATCTCTGTGGGTCTCTCTGTATCCCTAAGTATCTCTATGGTTGACTTGCAGAACGAGACTCCATCCTAGTCTCTTCACGCCTCACTGCAATTACTCCACCACCACAACCACCACCACAACCACCACCACCACGACCACCACAACCAACACCACCGCCACCACCACGACCACCACAACCACCACCACCACGACCACCACAACCAACACCACCGCCACCACCACGACCACCACAACCAACACCACCGCCACCGCCACCACCACCACCACCACCACCGCCGCCACCACCGCCACCACGACCACCACCAACACCACCAGTACCACCACGACCACCACCCCCACCGCCACCACCACCACCACCACTGCCACCACCCCCACCCCCACCACCACCACGACCACCACAACCAACACCGCCACCACCGCCACCACCACCACCACCACCCTCACCACCACCACCGCCACCACCACCACCACCACCTCCACCGCCACCACCACCACCACGACCACCCACCACCACCACCCTCACCACCACCACCACCGCCACCACCACCACCACCACCACCGCCACCACCACCACCACGACCACCACCACCACCACCCTCACCACCACCACCGCCACCACCACCACCACCACCACCGCCACCGCCACCACCACCACCACGACCACCACCACCACCACCCTCACCACCACCACCACCGCCACCACCACCACCACCGCCACCACCACCACCACCACCACGACCACCACCACCACCACCCTCACCACCACCACCGCCACCACCACCACCACCACCACCGCCACCGCCACCACCACCACCACCACCACCACCGCCACCACCACCACCACCACGCTCGCCCCTCGTCACACGCTCGTCTCTCCCCGCAGGCCGCCCAGCGCCACCGTGCCGGGCGCGCCCACCCACGTGACCCCCACCCCCCCCACCGCCCCCACCCCCCCCCCTCGCCGCTGGGTCCGCCGGGAGGGCCGCCGCCGAGCGTGGCGCCAGCGGCGTGCGCTCCCCCCCGCCACGCCACCACCGCCTCCACCGCCTCCACCGCCACGGCCGCAGCCTCGCCAGCGTCCCACTCATCATCTAGGGTGGGCAGCGGGGGGGAGAGGGGGACAGGGGGGAGAGGTGACAGTGAGTGACATCACAGCCGCAGCAGCCTTTATTCAAGCATGTGAGACATCGTCAGCGTCGTCAGCGTCGATGATCGTGACGTCGATGATCGTGACGACGATGATCGTGATGACGACGATGATGATGACGACGACGATGACGTTTCAGCCGTGGGGACCCCGTGGGGACCGGCCGTGCGAGAGAGAGGGGTGGTGGTGGTGGTGGTAGTGGTGGTGGTGGTGGTAGTGGTGGTAGTGGTGGTGGTAGTGGTGGTGGTAGTGGTGGTGGTGGTAGTAGTGGTGGTGGTAGTGGTAGTGGTGGTAGTGGTGGTGGCGGTGGTGGTGGTAGTGGTGGTAGTGGTGGTGGCGGTGGTGGTGGTAGTGGTGGTAGTGGTGGTGGCGGTAGTGGTGGTGGTAGTGGTGGTGGCGGTGGTGGTGGTGGTAGTGGTGGTAGTGGTGGTGGCGGTAGTGGTGGTGGTAGTGGTGGTAGTGGTGGTGGCGGTAGTGGTGGTGGTAGTGGTGGTGGCGGTGGTGGTGGTGGTAGTGGTGGTAGTGGTGGTGGCGGTAGTGGTGGTGGTAGTGGTGGTGGTGGTGATGGTGGTAGTAGTGGTGGTGGTGGTGGTAGTGGTGGTAGTGGTGGTGGTAGTGGTGGTGGTAGTGGTGGTAGTGGTAGTAGTGGTGGTGGTGGTAGTGGTGGTAGTGGTGGTGGTAGTGGTGGTGGTGGTAGTAGTGGTGGTGGTAGTGGTAGTGGTGGTAGTGGTGGTGGCGGTGGTGGTGGTAGTGGTGGTAGTGGTGGTGGCGGTGGTGGTGGTAGTGGTGGTAGTGGTGGTGGCGGTAGTGGTGGTGGTAGTGGTGGTGGCGGTGGTGGTGGTGGTAGTGGTGGTAGTGGTGGTGGCGGTAGTGGTGGTGGTAGTGGTGGTGGTGGTGATGGTGGTAGTAGTGGTGGTGGTGGTGGTAGTGGTGGTAGTGGTGGTGGTAGTGGTGGTGGTAGTGGTGGTAGTGGTAGTTAGTGGTGGTGGTGGTAGTGGTGGTAGTGGTGGTGGTAGTGGTGGTGGTAGTGGTAGTGGTGGTAGTGGTGGTGGTAGTGGTGGCGGTAGTGGTGGTAGTGGTGGTGGTGGTGGTGATGGTGGTAGTAGTGGTGGTGGTGGTGGTAGTGGTGGTAGTGGTGGTGGCGGTGGTGGTGGTAGTGGTGGTGGCGGTGGTGGTGGTAGTGGTGGTAGTGGTGGTGGCGGTAGTGGTGGTGGTAGTGGTGGTGGTGGTGATGGTGGTAGTAGTGGTGGTGGTGGTGGTAGTGGTGGTAGTGGTGGTGGTGGTAGTGGTGGTGGTAGTGGTGGTAGTGGTAGTAGTGTGGTGGTGGTAGTGGTGGTAGTGGTGGTGGTAGTGGTGGTGGTAGTGGTGGTAGTGGTGGTGGCGGTGGTGGTAGTGGTGGTGGTAGTGGTAGTAGTGGTGGTAGTGGTGGTAGTGGTGGTGGTAGTGGTGGTGGTAGTGGTGGTGGCGGTGGTGGTGGTAGTGGTGGTAGTGGTGGTGGTGGTAGTGGTGGTGGTAGTGGTGGTGGTAGTGGTAGTAGTGGTGATGGTGGTGGTGGTAGTGGTGGTGTTGGTAGTGGTAGTAGTGGTGATGGTGGTGTTGGTGGTGGTGGTAGTGGTGTTGGTGGTGGTGTTGGTAGTGGTAGTAGTGGTGGTGGTAGTGGTGGTAGTGGTGTTGGTGGTGGTGTTGGTAGTGGTAGTAGTGGTGATGGTGGTGTTGGTGGTGGTGGTGTTGGTATTGGTAGTAGTGGTGATGGTGGTGTTGGTGGTGGTGGTGTTGGTAGTGGTGGTGGTAGTAGTGGTGTTGGTAGTGGTGGTAGTGATGGTAGTAGTGGTGGTGGTAGTGGTAGTGGTGTTGGTGGTGGTGTTGGTAGTGGTAGTAGTGGTGATGGTGGTGTTGGTGGTGGTGGTGTTGGTAGTGGTGGTGGTAGTAGTGGTGTTGGTAGTGGTGGTAGTGATGGTAGTAGTGGTGGTGGTAGTGGTAGTGGTGTTGGTGGTGGTGTTGGTAGTGGTAGTAGTGGTGATGGTGGTGTTGGTAGTAGTGGTGATGGTGGTGGTAGTGGTAGTGGTGGTGTTGGTGGTGGTGGTGGTGTTGGTGGTGGTAGTGGTGGTAGTGGTGGTGGTAGTGGTGGTGGTGGTGTTGGTGGTGGTAGTGGTGGTAGTGGTGGTGTTGGTGGTGGTAGTGGTGGTGTTGGTGGTGGTAGTGGTAGTAGTGGTGGTGGTGGTGATGGTGGTGATGGTGGTGGTGGTGGTGGTGATGTTGGTGGTGGTGGTGGTGGACACACCGCCCTGCGCTGAGCCTTGCAAGCGGCGCCGCTCAGCCGCCAGTCCATTGTGGGGGGGGGGGGGGGGGGGCTGGCACACCCCACTTGTGTTGTGGTGACGCTGCCGGTGTTGGTGCTGTGTTGGTGTTGTGTTGGTGCCGTGTTGGTGCTGTGTTGGTGCTGTGTTGGTGCTGTGTTGGTGCTGTGTTGGTGCTGTGTTGGTGCTGTGTTGGTGCAGTGTTGGTGCTGTGTTGGTGCTGTGTTGGTGCCGTGTTGGTGCCGTGTTTGGTGCTGTGTTGGTGCTGTGTTGGTGCTGTGTTGGTGTTGCGTTGGCGCTGTGTTGGTGCAGTGTTGGCGCAGTGTTGGCGCAGTGTTGGCGCTGTGTTGGTGCCGTGTTGGTGCCGTGTTTGGTGCTGTGTTGGTGCAGTGTTGGTGTTGTGTTGGTGCTGTGTTGGTGCCGTGTTGGTGCTGTGTTGGTGCTGTGTTGGTGTTGTGTTGGTGCTGTGTTGGTGTTGTGTTGGTGCAGTGTTGGTGCTGTGTTGGTGCTGTGTTGGTGTTGGTGCTGTGTTGGTGTTGTGTTGGTGTTGCGTTGGTGTTGTGTTGGTGTTGTGTTGGTGTTGTGTTGGTGCTGTGATGGTGCTGTGTTGGTGCTGTGTTGGTGCAGTGTTGGTGCTGTGTTGGCGCTGTGTTGGTGCTGTTGTTGGTGCTGTGTTGGTGCAGTGTTGGCGCTGTGTTGGTGTTGTGTTGGTGCTGTGTTGGTGCAGTGTTGGTGCAGTGTTGGTGCTGTGTTGGTGCAGTGTTGGTGCAGTGTTGGTGCTGTGTTGGTGCTGTGTTGGTGCTGTGTTGGTGTTGGTGCTGTGTTGTGTGCAGTGTTGGTGCAGTGTTGGTGCTGTGTTGGTGCTGTGTTGGTGCTGTGTTGGTGCTGTGTTGGTGCTGTGTTGGTGTTGGTGCTGTGTTGGTGCAGTGTTGGTGCAGTGTTGGTGCAGTGTTGGTGCTGTGTTGGTGCTGTGTTGGTGCAGTGTTGGCGCAGTGTTGGCGCAGTGTTGGCGCTGTGTTGGTGCCGTGTTGGTGCCGTGTTTGGTGCTGTGTTGGTGCAGTGTTGGTGTTGTGTTGGTGCTGTGTTGGTGCCGTGTTGGTGCCGTGTTGGTGTTGTGTTGGTGTTGTGTTGGTGCTGTGTTGGTGTTGTGTTGGTGCTGTGTTGGTGCTGTGTTGGTGCAGTGTTGGTGTTGTGTTGGTGCTGTGTTGGTGCCGTGTTGGTGCCGTGTTGGTGTTGTGTTGGTGTTGTGTTGGTGCTGTGTTGGTGTTGTGTTGGTGCCGTGTTGGTGTTGTGGTGACGCTGCCGGTGTTGGTGCAGTGTTGGTGCAGTGTTGGCGCTGTGTTGGTGCGGTGTTGGTGCTGTGTTGGTGCCGTGTTGGTGCCGTGTTTGGTGCTGTGTTGGTGCTGTGTTGGTGCTGTGTTGGTGCTGTGTTGGTGTTGCGTTGGCGCTGTGTTGGTGCAGTGTTGGTGCAGTGTTGGCGCTGTGTTGGTGCTGTGTTGGTGCTGTGTTGGTGCTGTGTTGGTGCTGTGTTGGTGTTGTGTTGGTGCTGTGTTGGTGTTGTGTTGGTGCAGTGTTGGTGCTGTGTTGGTGCTGTGTTGGTGTTGGTGCTGTGTTGGTGTTGTGTTGGTGTTGCGTTGGTGTTGTGTTGGTGTTGTGTTGGTGTTGTGTTGGTGCTGTGATGGTGCTGTGTTGGTGCTGTGTTGGTGCAGTGTTGGTGCTGTGTTGGCGCTGTGTTGGTGCTGTTGTTGGTGCTGTGTTGGTGCAGTGTTGGCGCTGTGTTGGTGTTGTGTTGGTGCTGTGTTGGTGCAGTGTTGGTGCAGTGTTGGTGCTGTGTTGGTGCAGTGTTGGTGCAGTGTTGGTGCTGTGTTGGTGCTGTGTTGGTGCTGTGTTGGTGTTGGTGCTGTGTTGGTGCAGTGTTGGTGCAGTGTTGGTGCTGTGTTGGTGCTGTGTTGGTGCTGTGTTGGTGCTGTGTTGGTGCTGTGTTGGTGTTGGTGCTGTGTTGGTGCAGTGTTGGTGCAGTGTTGGTGCAGTGTTGGTGCTGTGTTGGTGCTGTGTTGGTGCTGTGTTGGTGCTGTGTTGGTGTTGTGTTGGTGCTGTGTTGGTGTTGTGTTGGTGTTGTGTTGGTGTTGTGTTGGTGTTGTGTTGGGGCTGTGTTGGTGCTGTGTTGGTGCTGTGTTGGTGCTGTGTTGGTGCTGCGTTGGTGCTGTGGCCGGAGTTACGTGGCTGGGGAGGGAACGTAGAATGGCTGGTCGTCATCCTCCCTGAGTCTGACCCGTGACCCCCGTGACCTCTCACACCACTCCACGCAGAGCCCCTAGAGCGCAGGGGATGGGGGTCAAGGGTCAAGGGTCAGGCTCTACGCTAGGGCCAAAGTCTAAGGGTTAGCGTCGGTGTTAGGTGCTGGGTCGGGTTGGCGGTCAGGGATCGAGATTGCTACGACCCCGCCACCGTTTTTGTGTTTTTACTTCACCAGTCAAGGCTGTCACAAGGTGTGAAACAAACGCAGCAAGGGGGACCTGCTGATGGAGGACTAAGAGCAGCAGCAGTAGCAGTACCAGCAGCAGCAGCAGCTGCAGCAGCAGCAGTAGCAGCAGTAGCAGGCAGCAGCAGAAGCAGCAGCTGCAGCAGCAGCAGCTGCAGCAGCAGC